GATAGGAAATTAGTCGCTTATCCTCAAAATTACACTAAAGCTAACCCTAATGCAATATAGGGCCAACCCTAGGTCATCTCCCAAGGAATGGTTTTAAGTCTAATTGAAAGTTATCTAGTGAAATAAATCAACCAAAGTTTGTAGGAATTTAGTTATCTAGCTAATTATCTAAACTAATTACCTAATATGCAAGTAATTAAAATGCTAGTGAAAGTGAGTGAAATGAACTTCCCTTTTTACAATAATGGAACCCTAGAGATTAGTTGATTTTGGACTCATTATCTTCTCATGATTAGGCTAAGTTTAGCTTCCCTTTCCTCTTGACTAAAGCTGTCATGACTTAAGAAAATTATCCTAAGCCAATTAACCTAATTAGCTAACCTCCCTAGGTCTTAGATTAAAGTCCCTAGTTCAATTAACCAATTGGTGAAGACATTAGCCAAGTGATTCATTCAAAATCCTCTCTCAACAGCCATGGTCAAACACATAAATTGAGCAACCACAAGATTATGTCAAGCTACTCAACAACACAAGCATTAACACCACAAGATTATGCAATATTAACACAAGAAATTCACTAATTGAAAAACACAAGATTATGTGCCAAACAAAGAGTGGCAAAATTCAGTCATGGCTGTCCAAGGAAGAAATTAAATGAAACAATCCTCTCTTTACATCAACAACATCAAATTCAAATTAGAATTTATAAGCTAAGATGATTAAACCCTAGATTAAGGAATCTAACCATCTAGTAAAAAGAGAAGAGGATAGGAAACAAAAGAACTTAGCCAATTTGAAGCTCAAGACTCATCCTCCATCTTCATCTCTCTAGGATTCCACAAAGAAACTTAGCCAATCTTCATCTTCAAGAACCCTAGTGATTGCTTGTGAAGGCCAAACTCCATAGCTCTTGAATGATGAAAATGAGCTTCAATCCTTGTGAAAATGGAAGGGATGGAACGAAAATGAAGAGAGGAGAAGAATGGTATGAGTTTTGTGGAGGTTTGGTGGCTGAAAATGGAGGTTAGGGTGCTGGAAAATGAAGAACAAAAGAGAGAAAATGAAGAACACTATGAACAAGAGAGAGAGAATGTGGAAGATGAATGAGATATGTGTTGGATCCCATTTGGGACTTAAAATGGCGTGCTCCTTGGTGTCTCCCATCAGCTGAAGCTTAATTAAAATAAGGAAAAAGAAATTAAAATGTAAATGGGAGCCTTGTCACACTTGCAAGGTGGCAACTTCCTATTGGTTTGTAGATGATTCCAATGTGTGCCTAATTTCCCATGTGTCATCCACATCATTTTAGCTGATTTAACCCCTCAAAATAATCATAATTCACGTGCAAACCATCAGCCATTGACCTCAAGGAGTGTTGACCTCAATTGCCCAATTGATGCACAAGTCACATGCCACCTATGTCACATAAATCACATAATTCAATTAAATAGCATATGATATAATAAAATCTAATTCATGTCCAGAATTAAATTCATAATTAGAAGGGAGAATTTATTAAATTAACCAAGTTTCAGGCTGCACAAAATTATATAAAAATTTCCACACAAAGGCAAACCAAAAACTAGGACAAACTAAGACACTTAAGAAAGTGTTGACTTTTTTATTTAATTACTCCCAAACTAAAATGAATTTTAAAAATATAATTTCACCATTCATCAACTGGACATAAAATGCACTTTGTCAATTTTTCTTGTACATTTTCTCAAAAGTTCATTTTTTGGACCAAAATGCCCCTAGTGCACTGATCTTAGAAACTTAGGCAAAGTTCCAAATCTAATGCAATGTGTGCACTTGAAGGTGATAAATCATTAATAAAATGGTCCTAATTGACAAATAAAAGTGGGTAACAAATGTGTTCTATCAATTCCCCCACACTTAGCTTTTGCACTCCGGGCAAAATCAAGTGAAAAAGGTCCCAAAAGAAACTATAAGACAAAGAAATAGAGAAAAACATTGTTTCAAGTCACTAAAATACTAGCTCATGAACTTCTACAAATTATCAATCAATGTGGCAATAATTACGAAAGAATTATGCACATCACAAACAAACCCTTACCAAGAATCAATGTCAAAGAGTAAGCCTCTCTAGGTTAAGTGTTTGCTCTCATCACTCAAAGTGTATAAGGTATTAAATTTCACTCAAAATTTCTTAGGATAAACCCTACTATGAATTTGTAACCCTTCTACATCTCCATCACTAAATAGCACTTGCAATCAAGAATGTCAAAGAAATGGTTGTATATAAAAAAATAGGGTTTATATTAGTTAGCATCAAAATAATGCTAAATCAAGATATATCCCCTTAATATGCAAAGCATAACCTAACTCAATTGAGTGAACACCTTAACACAATGAGGATGGAAAGAAATGATAAGAAATAATAAAACAAATGGAATGGATGAGCTAGGCAACTTTTTATTTTTATTTTTATTTTTTTTTCTTTCTTTTCTTTTTTTTCTTCTTTTTTTTTTTTTTCTAGCAACTTTATTTCTTTTCTTTTTGACTATATTTTTTTTTTTCAAATCTATCTTTGTTGTTTTTTTTTTTGGTTGCCCCTAACTCTTTGAAAACAATGGAAGTAATGGATAGAGAAATGATAATAGGCATCCACTCATTTGATCTAGGACATGCAATGAATATTAAAAAGACATATAAAAGTGTAACATGCATTCCTTGGGGAAAAATAGGGTGAATATTTTTTTTTTTTAAGAATCAAACCAAAGGCTCAAAGTGGCTAACAAAGGATAATAAATAATAATAGGTTGGCTATTTGGCTCTTGGCTATTTTTTATGAATGCCATCTCTCATCTCCTATCAAACAAGTGCAAGATATATGGTCTTAATTAAGAAGTGAAACAAATTCTAGAGGGTAACATCACTAAGGAATTAATCACACATGAGTGTTTAGCCTCTTCCATGAAAGGGTAATATGCCACTCTAATCCATTAATTCAAGGTAAAAGAATGTTCACTTCACACCTATTCAATCCTAAAAATTACCACATCTCAAGAATCAAAATATCCATTCAAGAGCTAGGTAATTAAGTAACCTCAAACAAAACAAAACAAAATTTTTTTTTTGAATTTTTTTATTTGCAAAACCAAACAAAACCAAACAAACAAAAAAATGTTTATTTCTCTCCCCCACACTTAAATCATGCATTGTCCTCAATGTATGTATAGACTAGTGATAAAATAAGGTGAGATCAATAATGAATGCATAACAAAAGTGTGGTGCAGATATTTTTTTTTTTCAAACTAAAACACAAAACAAAGAAGTCAAATAAAGCAAATAAACTCTAATTTCCTACTAGGTTCATCTCCCCCACACTTGCAATTTACTCAATCAACAAATCAAAGCATAAAGCAAAGTAAAGTAAAAAGAAAGGGTGAAGAAGATACAACCTAGTTTAAATCTCCACAAGCTCTTGAAGTTGAAATTTTCATCTTTGAGGAGTAACATGAAGCTACTCATTATCATCTTCATTCCAAGCATCTTAGGTGGAGGCTCAAGATCAATTTGTAATGGCTCCAAGATGTATGGTGTAGAATCTTTCATAACTTTATGTGGTTGATCATCTTCATGGTTAGCCAAGGTCTCTTCCATTGCAATGATAAATCCTCTAAGTACATGGGGGTTCTTGGCCATATCATCATTTAGACCTATAAAATCAACAAAGAACCCTTCCTCAAGCATATTGGGTTCTAAAGAAGTGCACTCATGATTAATTTCACTCAAACATACATCATCAATTATTTTATCAAGTAAATGATTGCTACTATTTTCAAGCACAAATGAATTAATTTCTAAACAAATAGGGCATGGAGAATCATGTGAACAATCACAAGTGAATAGGAAATTAGAACAAGTACTATGAAACAAAGCCAACTCATCATCAAAATCATCAAGCATTAAATCAATATTATTCTCATTACTATTTGGCTTTGTAAAATCAATTCCTTGATTTTCAACCTCCTTGTCATCTTGAGTTATTTTCAATTCCTTGTTCAAATCCTTAGTAGGAGCTACAGCCTTTTCAAGTTGAGCAAGTTCCTCTTTGAAATCAAGAGATGGTTTGGCTACATTGCCTTGTTCACCTACAAAAGAAGGTAAACAACCTTTCTCAAGCACATCATGGTTAGAAGAAACAAGTGCATGTGCACTATTAACAATATCACAAGAAGGAATTGGAATTTCAAGCATACAAGATACATCATCGCCACCATCAACATCCATTTCATTTTCTTTATTCAAGCTAAGTGAAGAGTCAACACTTTCAATGATATTTGAATTTAAATCAAGAGAATTATCATGTGAACTCAAAGTGTTTTTCTCCCAAGGGTATACTTTTTCACAATATGATTCATGCTCAAACATCCAAGGTGATTCAACTATAATTTCTTCATCTACGTCATCATCATTTAAATCATTATGCTCATCATTAGATAAAGTCAAATGTGAAGAAGAATCAACCTCAATAGGAATAGGAGAAATTACCTCTTGAAGTAAGGGTTGGATTGACTCCTTCTCTTTTGGAGATTGAGTGGCTTGAGGTGTATTTATATTCTCAATAGCTTCATGAGCAACTTTTTGTGTGTCTTCAACTTGAAACATGTAATTTCTCTCTTGTGAGGCTTGGGCTACTCCATGTGGTTCACAATATCCTTTTAGAATAGGACAATCATAATAGAAGTGGGAGATAGCCTCACAATGCACACAATAAAATTTACCCCTTTGTGCATATAATTTTTCTAGATGCTCAATGTCAATGGATGGTGTACTCTCAACATGAGTGCTTAGATTGGATTCAAAACTCATGGGATTGAAAAATTCATAATTGTGACTTGGATGGAAATGATCATGATATGGGGGTGGATAATCAAAGTTATATTGTTGAAATTGATTATGGAAATGGGATGTATGGTCAATGTTAAGCGCTGGAAATGGATGGGAATGGATGTCAAATGAATGATGGAATGAATCATGATCATGAAACCAAGCCATAAAATGCAATGAAATTTATATCCACAAGCAATGATTCAAATTCAAGCTCAAAATGATGGAAAGACCAAGGAAGCTCAAATGATATGCCCTTTGCAAGTGTATGAGTGGAAATGCAAGCAAACAAAAATCAAGAGAAATTTTTTTTTTCTTTTTTTTTCTATTAGAATTAAAAACAATAAAAATAAAAAAAAAATCAAAAACAACACCAAACAAGTAGAAAGAGAGTTAGAAATGCTCAATCAAGAAGCTTTGACAATTCTGGAATTTGCACAGTAGGCTTTCTGGAGATAGTGAACTTGTGGATTTTTTAGCAGCCAATCCATATGAGAAATTCACCTGAAACTTTTATGAGATACACAAGAGATATTCAGAAAAATTATATAAAACTTTCAGATTACAAATCCCTCCCAATCGTTCCCAGAATTTTTCACAAGTTGGTCCACAGGTCTGGAGAAACAGGATTTCGTCCAGAAGACCTTCAGAGCTTCTAACAAACTTTCAAATAGGAAAATGGAAAAATTGAAGAAAATCCTAAACACAAGAAACAAATATAAGACAGTGATAAGAAAATGAAACTCAAATCAATCAATTTGAACGCACAAAGAGGAAGATATGCTAACTCAAAGTTGAAACAGGGTTTTGGGAATCCTCTGTAATGGCTCCCTGGACCTTGTTAGATTGTAAAATTTCCACAGGACACTTCCCACGTCCAAAATTGACCAAACCAATTTTAAAGTGAAGCTAAGATATAGAGCTTTCAATGAAATAAATTTCAAGTTCAAATTCCCTCAGACTCATTCCCAGTTAATTTTTCAATTTCAGACAGAGACACTAGAAACAGAGTATTTTCAGCTCTACACTACACCAAACCAACGAAAATTGCACTAATTTTTTTTTTCAAAACAGAATAAAAACACTCAAAACACACAAAAACACTAAACAAAACACAAAAAACAAATTTTATAATTTTTTCAAAAAATTTTTCAGGAACACTAAAAATGTAAATTAGGTACTAAACAACCTTAGAATTAAACTTAAACCATTCCCCGGCAACGGCGCCAAAATTTTGATAGGAAATTAGTCGCTTATCCTCAAAATTACACTAAAGCTAACCCTAATGCAATATAGGGCCAACCCTAGGTCATCTCCCAAGGAATGGTTTTAAGTCTAATTGAAAGTTATCTAGTGAAATAAATCAACCAAAGTTTGTAGGAATTTAGTTATCTAGCTAATTATCTAAACTAATTACCTAATATGCAAGTAATTAAAATGCTAGTGAAAGTGAGTGAAATGAACTTCCCTTTTACAATAATGGAACCCTAGAGATTAGTTGATTTTGGACTCATTATCTTCTCATGATTAGGCTAAGTTTAGCTTCCCTTTCCTCTTGACTAAAGCTGTCATGACTTAAGAAAATTATCCTAAGCCAATTAACCTAATTAGCTAACCTCCCTAGGTCTTAGATTAAAGTCCCTAGTTCAATTAACCAATTGGTGAAGACATTAGCCAAGTGATTCATTCAAAATCCTCTCTCAACAGCCATGGTCAAACACATAAATTGAGCAACCACAAGATTATGTCAAGCTACTCAACAACACAAGCATTAACACCACAAGATTATGCAATATTAACACAAGAAATTCACTAATTGAAAACACAAGATTATGTGCCAAACAAAGAGTGGCAAAATTCAGTCATGGCTGTCCAAGGAAGAAATTAAATGAAACAATCCTCTCTCTTTACATCAACATCAAATTCAAATTAGAATTTATAAGCTAAGATGATTAAACCCTAGATTAAGGAATCTAACCATCTAGTAAAAAGAGAAGAGGATAGGAAACAAAAGAACTTAGCCAATTTGAAGCTCAAGACTCATCCTCCATCTTCATCTCTCTAGGATTCCACAAAGAAACTTAGCCAATCTTCATCTTCAAGAACCCTAGTGATTGCTTGTGAAGGCCAAACTCCATAGCTCTTGAATGATGAAAATGAGCTTCAATCCTTGTGAAAATGGAAGGGATGGAACGAAAATGAAGAGAGGAGAAGAATGGTATGAGTTTTGTGGAGGTTTGGTGGTGGCTGAAAATGGAGGTTAGGGTGCTGGAAAATGAAGAACAAAAAAGAGAAAATGAAGAACACTATGAACAAGAGAGAGAGAATGTGGAAGATGAATGAGATATGTGTTGGATCCCATTGGGACTTAAAATGGCGTGCTCCTTGGTGTCTCCCATCAGCTGAAGCTTAATTAAAATAAGGAAAAAAATTAAAATGTAAATGGGAGCCTTGTCACACTTGCAAGGTGGCAACTTCCTATTGGTTTGTAGATGATTCCAATGTGTGCCTAATTTCCCATGTGTCATCCACATCATTTTAGCTGATTTAACCCTCTCAAAATAATCATAATTCACGTGCAAACCATCAGCCATTGACCTCAAGGAGTGTTGACCTCAATTGCCCAATTGATGCACAAGTCACATGCCACCTATGTCACATAAATCACATGATTCAATTAAATAGCATATGATATAATAAATCTAATTCATGTCCAGAATTAAATTCATAATTAGAAGGGAGAATTTATTAAATTAACCAAGTTTCAGGCTGCACAAAATTATATAAAAATTTCACACAAAGGCAAACCAAAAACTAGGACAAACTAAGACACTTAAGAAAGTGTTGACTTTTTATTTAATTACTCCCAAACTAAAATGAATTTTAAAAATATAATTTCACACCATTCATCAACTGGACATAAAATGCACTTTGTCAATTTTTCTTGTACATTTTCTCAAAAGTTCATTTTTTGGACCAAAATGCCCCTAGTGCACTGATCTTAGAAACTTAGGCAAAGTTCCAAATCTAATGCAATGTGTGCACTTGAAGGTGATAAATCATTAATAAAATGGTCCTAATTGACAAATAAAAGTGGGTAACAAATGTGTTCTATCAGACCGATGATAATGTCCTAAGATATAAAGGTAGAGTGTGTGTTGCCTAATGATGCTCGATTGAAATATCTTACTTGAGGAGGCTCATCAGAAGTAGATACTATTCACCAGGAGCAACTAAGATGTATCATGACTTAGACGTGGTTGGTGGTGGCCAAGAATGAAGAGAGATGTAACTGAACATGTAACTCGTTGTTTGACTTGCCAGAAAGTCAAAATTGAGCATCAGAAACTAGCCGGATGCTAATCTCTTGATATTCCAGAGTGGAATGGACAGCATTTCTATGGACTTCATTACAGGATTGCCTAAAACATCTTCTGGTCATGACACTATATAGGTAATCGTAGATCGACTCACCAAATCAGCTCATTTTCTTGCTACTAATATCAAGTATTCTCTTGAAAAATTAACTGAAATCTACATAAGAGAAGTGGTGAGATTGCATGGAGTGCCGACAAATATCGTATCTGATCGTGATCCGAGATTCACATCAAACTTTTGGAAGTCATTACAGGAAGCCATGGGTACTCGTCTGAGTTTTAGCACCGCTTACCACCCCCAAACCGATGGGCAAACGGAACGAACCATACAAACTATTGAAGACATGTTAAGAGCTTGTGCCATTGAGCTTAGAGGTAATTGGGATAGTCACTTGCCATTAGCTGAATTTGCCTACAATAATAGTTTTCATTCTAGCATTCAGATGGCACCTTATGAGGCATTATATGGAAGAAAATGTAGATCGCCACTGTGTTGGACAGAATTAAGTGAGAGAACTGTTTTGGGGCCAGACATTGTTGATGAGACTACCCAAAAGATTGCTTTAATCAAGCAAAAATTATTCACAGCTCAAAGTAGACAAAAGAGTTATGCGGATAAGAGGAGAAGACCGCTTGAGTTTGAAGTAGGTGACCATGTATTTTTGAAAATCTCTCCAGTAACTGGTGTTGGAAGAGCTATTAAGGCTAAGAAGTTGACACCAAGGTTTATGGGGCCTTTTGAGATCTTAAAATGAGTTGGACCAGTAGCGTATCAAGTAGCATTACCACCCCAAATTGCTGGTATACACAATGTATTTCATGTGTCCAACTGAAAAAGTATCAACCAGATCCTTCCCATATAATTGAACCCGAGGAGATTGAACTCAGGGAGAATTTAACATTCAGAGCTGAACCGAAAGAAATTGTGGATTATAAGGACAAGCAATTAAGAAACAAGACCATTAGATTGGTTAAAGTAATTTGGAAGGGCACGACTCCAGGTGATGCTACGTGGGAGACCGAGGACAGTATGCTACGTGATTATCCTTGTCTTTTTGATTAAGTAAGTAGTTAATAGTTACTAACTTTAAATTTTGAGGACAAAATTTCTAAAAGGAGGGGAGAATTGTAACATCCCAATTTAAATTTTAATAGTTAATTTGGGTTTAATAGAAATTTAAAAAAATAAATAAATAATATTTAGAGGTAAGAAAATTAGTAGGAGATGATTATTAATCTAACTTAGGATATAATTCTAAAAAAAATTCAAAAAAATTAAAAAATAAATAAATAAAAAAAAAATAAATTATTAAATTATTATTATAATAAAAGAAAAGGGAAAACGTATAAAAAAAAGGGGAAAAGAAGAAGAAGAACAAACTGCTTTCGGCGCGCATGAACATAAAATAATAAAAAAAGAAAGAAAGAAAGAAGAAGAAGAAAAAGAATAAAAAAAATGTGTGGGACCCACTGAATTTTTTATAAAACTCACCCGTTTCCTTTCGTTTCTCTTCATTCTCGTGTGCGTGAGTTGAAACTGAAAGAGCGTCTAGTTTCACCGGTGCGGTAGATCTGAGTTTTAAGGTAAGAGTTTTTAATAGGATATTTAGGGTGTGATTTTAAGCTTTTTAAGATTAAGTAAGTGTTCTAAAATTTTTTCTTAGTCATCCTTCTTCTTTGGTTTCTGATTTTGTAGTGGTAGAAAATTTAAGATCTGGAAGAGGGATGAATTTATGTTGAATAAATATGGTTTTTGAGGTTGTTAGTAGTATAATAAATATTCTAGAGTATAAATTTATTGGTGATCTTTGAATTTGTGGCTTATGGATCAAATTCTAGACTAGATCTAAAAATATATGTTAATTTATTGAGGTTTAGATGATTATTTGGGATGAGAAATGAATTATTATGGCTATAGGATTATGATTCTAAGCTAGAGACTTAATTTTTAATTTTTGGGTATTTTAGGTACGAATTTATGAAATAAAAAGAAAATTTTGATAATAAAAATTAGTTTAGAAGTTGATTTTTAGATTATTAATGTTTATTGATAATTAAAGAGGAGTTAAAAATTTTACTTAATAGTATTGACTCTAGATTTGTATTAAGATTGAGATTAGGAATTATGTTATATTTTTAATTCTATTATTAGAATTATTTTATTAGTTTCAAAAATTGAAACTAATATTTATAAATAATATGTTATTTGTAGATTGTATTACTGGTGAAGATTGTGGTGAGAGAGAAATTTTAAGAATAATTTATTGAAAAGCCACAAGGTAACCATGCTTTTAATTGTGATTAGTGTTACTTCATGTTAATTGGGTGATTATTGAGAAAATTATGAATTTTTGTAATATTGTATAATTGTGCAATATTATTATGAATTTGTTTAATTATTGTGGGAGGTGTTGGGAGACTTGCTATTATTGTTGTATTTATGTGCCACGTGGTACACCCCTATTGGAGCTTAATAGGTGGCTTGTAAGGGCTCGGGCTAATAACTACCTTTAGCCGGGTAATTTAGCACCAAGTGAGGGCTACAGCTCGAGGTTAATGGAGGGATATAAGGATGGTGGTTTTTGTGTATATTGTAATATTTCTTATATTTGTTGGAATTATATTATTTTTAATTCTCACTTAATAAGCACACACTTAACTGTTTGTATACACTATCATAAATTGGCTTTGGTTACTGGGACTTCTGAGTCTCATTATGTGGTTAACAATTTTCAGGAGAAGAGCCACGAGTGACACGTGGAGGAGTCCCAGAGGCTTAGTGGTATAGATCCACTGTCTCTTTTGGGTATTTAATTTATGATTTATAATGTGTTATATTGCCAATATTAGGACTTTTTTTTTTGGTTTATTGTCAATTATATGAATATATAAATGTAATCATGCCTTTCAAACTATTTCTATTTTTGGTACAATTTGGATGACTGTAATTTTAATATTTGGTTTACTTTGGATTGGTTAAAATGGCATGATTATAAGGCCAAATAACTGGCTTGTGTTGAAAATTTATTAAATTGCTTATTTTACTTGTTGGGAGTATAAGGATGGACAAATGTGATTTAGTTTACTTGTTGGGAGCATAAGGATGGACAAATATGATTTAGCTTAATGGCATGTGGGAGGTAAAAAATTTATCTGAAATGTTATAGTGTGTGAGTTGAAGCCAATTATAAAATATTTTATATTGAAATTATTGATATAAAAATGTGTTGGGTGGCTGTAACCCAACTATGGTTGAGTTAAATTATTAAAAAAAAAAAATTTGGTGTGTTACACCCAAACTCCAAACTCTTAACAATATTTACTTTTAAATCCAATGCGCAAAATAACATATAGTAAAATGTTTATTTATTGGACAAATTAAATAATGACCACTTAATCAACATTGTTTGGGTTATTCTTGAAAACACAATAGTAGGTCATCATACTTTAATTGTGTTTTATTTTTAGTTCCTATAATTTTATTTCATTGTTCCTAGTTTTTTTTTAGTTTGATTAGTCTATAATAATGTTAATGTCTATGTATAGTTTAAAAAGTACACAGAGACCATTGGCTGCCACTAACGGAAGTAATTTTATTGTAACTCTGCTAACCATATTTCGTTGACATGATTAAGATATGTTGATGACATTAAAATAAATTGACCGTGTATGATTAAAAATAAAAGGTAAATGGAA